TTGGTACTCCTGCACTCACAAGCATCAGCAAGTCACTCATACACACTACAGGCACCGGTCTAGTGTAGGCAGGTGTAGGCACCGGTCAACTCTCAGACACTAGGCACAGCTTCCAAGATTCCAAGACTGCAAATAAAGAAACAAACACTCCGAAAGAAACATTGAACAAACATGATCCTTGGCTGTGGTACTGGGAAGGCATCCTCCTGTTTCTTCTTTATTGCATAACGGAAGGCATTCGCACTCCTCTCCGCTCCGAACAGCCAGGGTGTACATCCCATCCTGCTTTCGCATCCTGGGACGGCGCCGAGGGATGTCGACGAATGGATTGGCTCAAACGTTACCAAAAGTTTAAAAGAACACGGTAAGAATACAGTACTCAGCAATCTTTAGACATGGTGACTTTTAGAATCATACAGTGATACAGTGGGCATGCTCAGATTGGTTCAGGCCCTTGAAAGGTGATAAGGTAGATTGGATCCTGTCCAAATGATTGATTGATTCTTTCACCATGCGACATGGCTTATAAATAGCTGCCCATTATCCACGGAAAGGAAATCACATCCACCGAGCACACGGCGGAAAACAAATAACACATAATACAGCAAAGAGGAAACCAACAGGAAAGGGTGTTGGATAGAAAGACCATTAAACATATAGCTCTGGCATCATTAAAATAATAAGAAGATAAAAAAAAATATGAACCATCATAATGAAATTGATGGCGAATAATATTAATATAAGATTGCCATAAATTTATTCTATTATTTCATTTATTTAATTTATGGCAATCACAATTTCTTTTATCTTAGGGGCCAAAGCCATTTAAAAAGCTATAATATTATTGGCGTTTGCCATATCTGTAAAATAAATATTCTCTTTTATGGATTTTCATAATTAAGAAACAGATCTAGAAAATCCATGATTATTATCTTATTATTGAATTATTATTACAACTTAAAATAAGTTGATGCCAGATTTAATTTATGATATCTGGCAGGTCAACGGCTAGGTTAAAATTAATATTGTTCATACGCAATATTTTAATATAATGAAAGACCAGAAATTAATTATAAAATATGGCGTTCATCTATAATATTAGTTCTTTTTATCTATGGCCATTTGCTATAATCAAATAATGAAAGATATAAATTGCAAATTGCATAAATTAAGATAAAAGAAATACCAACCATTTTAAATCTAATGTTTGTTCTTCTTATCATTAAAAATGGTGGATAAATGTAAGAATAAATATATAATCTATGGACTAACCCATGACCTTCCTCATTATTTTAAATGAAAATGAGGAATGCGAATGAAATATGAGCAATAAAAATAAGATACCAACATTGGCCAAAATATGCTATAAATGTATGAGTCAATTGCTATAATTAAAGTTATTCCATCTGCATATTTTGGCGGTTAACACAATATATTTATTCTGTAGACCACATATTTTAATATGTGTCATGAGATTTATAATAAAAGGCAACAAGCTCCTTTAGTGAGCAAACAACATATCAAGATCATTTGGTTGTCTGGAGCTTCTGAATCGAAACCATTTTGGAGGAGGCCGTAGGTATTAGCAAGTGGCTTTAAATCTTCAGTCCACACTCCAGCCAAAAGCTAGTGGACTGGCACGACATACAAGCACCAATCGAAGCCATTGAGGATCATTGAGACATGCAGCATGTACCATAATAAGTGATCATGTTTGTTTGCTCGCATTGGCGAAAATCAGGCGAAATCAGGCTTTCAGAGGCATGTTCTTAAACCGTGAGGCATGTTCTTTCTGGTCCCAGCTGGTGCTGAAGTTTCACCAGGACACGCGTACCTCATCTTGGCATCCGGCCATAAACTCACGGCCGAGATCCCCCAATTCAGGCAACCCACCTGAAATGAGGCAAGCTGCAGCAAGCTCATTGGAAGCACTTGTAGATTATAGCTTCTGCAATGAGATCTAGTCAGGTGATCCTCAAGCATAAGTTTCTGAGTAGTACTTAGAAACTAGTAATTAAGTAGTGGACACTCCAATCTAATTACCATAAATTGTGATTACACATCAACAGCTTTGCTTCTTCTCTAAGCGAACGCGTCCACATGATTGTGAGCGCAACTGTGCGCAAAGCATAGAGCAAATTAAGCACCACAGTACAAAACCGTCCACATAGGCTTGACACTGCTGCACCTCAAACAAAAAACGCTATTGTTGCTGACTGGGCTGAACAACCTGGAGATCAAGGAATCAACAAACATGTTTTTGACTATAAGCAAGGCAACATCACAATGATGAGCCAACCAACTGGGGTTGCTTCCTGGGCTATGTATACTAGCATTTTACACGTGCTATCGAGAGCTGCATTGCTTCCAAGAACCTCAGCCCATCCCAGCGAAAGCCTCGTTGGACCCGAGGATTTCGTCAATGAAATGGGCTTGGTGACCTCTGTGAAAGTCTGTAATGCCCATGTGCACGATGCCAGGCTTCACTGCCTATGAGCTGGAAATGCTGCAAATGGATATGTATACGGGCCAATACTAATTCGGCTGTCCAACATGTGAGTTGCCGCAAAGCGAACAAATAAAATATACAGCTGGCCCTCAATCGGTCCTTCACCTTACAGTACAGCTTTCAACAGTGAAAGCACCACATTCACTGGCTTGACACATGACATGTTTTCCGGAAGGGTCATGGGGGCCCATCAGCGGCCCAGCCTTACGATCATATCTCGGCGCCAGCACTGAACCACCCCAGGGTGGACAGTGCCACTTCAAGGTGTCTGTGGACAAAGATACCGACATGAGGCCAGCTCAAAGCAGAGAAGCGACTGAAAATAGGCTAAGGGTCACTCATTCGGCTGCAAAACTGTAGAGCTAACAGCCGGAACAGCATTGATTCTTTGCGGCGTGATGAGTGGAATGCAGGAATAGCACCTTCTTGGCTTTGTCAAACTCGACCGCCCTAACTGCCGCTAGCGCAGGCCCAAATTCTGCGAACACTCTCACAGCCAAGGACAAGTTGAAACTGCAAAGACAACCAAGAAAATTAATTTAATGATAAACCGCCGTCTATATCTGTATATAGATAAAATGCTTGACACATTCAAGCAAGGAATCTCTTATGGAATCCTATTTTGGGCTCAAGCGTTGCCAGTAAGACTCGCGAGGCACAGTCGAAGGATTAAAGCCTTTATCCTGGCGTTGCAACATCAGGAACACAACATGTGTCAACATGTGTGTCATTTCGCAGCTTCTTCTACCTGCAAGTTTCAGTACCGATTTGCCAAAAAGGGTCGTAAAAAGAATCCAACGAACGCTGCTCTAAGAAAAGTCATACTGGCAAGTCACGTTGTTGTCACAGTTGGTCTGAAATTCCAATTCTAGCGCCTTGGGATCTGTTGATGTTTCGCGTGCTTTTGGTGTGCCGGAGAGTTCCTCATCACTGTCCTCACCAAGTGCACACGCTCTCCCAAATAAGTTCAACTCACTGCATCATCTTGCCCCTCTCTTCTGATTGAACATGCGTCCAATTAGTATTGGCCTCATTACTCGACAAGCATTGACATTATTCGGCATACAAGATCTTGGCTAATTGAATCTATACTATATGGTGGTTGATCAATATTCTTTCATCCTGGAATGGCCATTCATCGCGGAAAAAAAGATATCTTTCGCGGATCTTTCGCGGACTCATCGCGAAGCGTGGTCCTACAACCATGTCTAGCTAACATGAGCCGGAACATGTCATAGTATCACAAAATAGGGAGAGACATCTTGCAGCATGACCCCAGTAGATGGTTAAACGTTTCCACAGCTACTCAGGGTCATTTGCAGCATCTGTGCGACAATTGTGCCAAATAGAGTCAGGCACAACTCAACCCAATCCTCGTGTCAGCTACCAACACAGGGTGATGCAGCTTGGGGAATGTTGGGGGGCCTCAAGTTGGGAACCTAGACTTTAGCGGCACATTCGCGAAGCTTTCGCGGATCTTTCGCGGAATTTCACTGGTGCTTTCCCCGGGCATGGAAATGTTGAGGCTTCAGTTCGTTAGTCTGTGACATATGGGGACACTTCCGCCCACTGGCTCTTTGTCAAAGGGAAACAATGAAAGCGATGACCTTCGATAAATCTTTCGCGGAAAAAAAAGATACTTTCGCGAACCTCATCGCGAATCTTTCGCGGATGGTTCTAACAACATCTGAAAGGCTGTTTTATATAAAACTCCTTACACGGGGTTTTCGATCAACTCCCAGGATCAGTTGGGCATTACACATCTGGGTGAGCTTGGGGTTGAACGTATTTGTTGGCAATTGACAAGGCTTTCCTCAAATGCACCAAGGGTCGATGTAGAGAGGACATGGATATGCAAATATAACTACACACATGTGTCAATTCAATACTCATATACTAAATTAACAAATTACGGTAAAATATCAATATGATTTCAACCACCATGTTGACACTTACTAAATAGAAGCAGCCATGACAGGCAGCTCTTGCTTTAAGCAATGTGTTCTCAAAGTCAGGCAGCCACTGGATTGGAAAAAAGGAATATTATAGTTCATTGGACATTGGCTTGGTTGTGTGGCCGGGAAAGCTCAGGATTGCTACCCTGTGATCTGCTGATCTGCCCAGGCCTGGGCGTTCACGGGCGTCCCTGTCTTTGGGGTCCCACTCGCCACTGCAAGGTGAGGTAGGCCTAACACAAAAGCGCACTATGTCAACTCGGGAGAATACAGTATCTGCCAGGAGTCCGCCACAAAGTGTCCAAAGGTAATTAATTGGTGCTTATGATTCAAATCAATCAATCAAGAGCCGCCGCCGCCACCTCCATAATCATAGACTAATATTATATTATAGCTGTCACTAGGTTTGACTGGCGTTTTTCCGCGCAGAAATGACAAGCAACTGCACAAGTCACCTGTTGTATTAACAGCATAGGTGCATGCGGCTTACACAAGCAAAAGGTTCCGGATCACATCTCGAAGGCCATAAGAATGCCTCAACCACGGCCACGTCCCCGAGAACTCCCTTTGCCACGCCCTTCTCCTTTTCCTTTTCCTCCTTTTCCTTTGCCTTGAATCGATCACGCAGCAAGGTAAACAAGACCACCAAATGCCAAACATGCATGAGGATCGTCAGGTTTTTAAATGTTCAAGACACATGGAACAAGGGGCATGGCTGCCAATTTAGCCAAAGTTCCTCTTCCTTTTCCTTCCCTCTCGCCCTTGCCCTTCTCACCTTTACCGCCACCTTTTCTTCGCTCATACATTCGCTGCTTGGTCTCCTTCAACCGCTGAGAAGCCTCATGGATGTCTGTCTCCTCTTCCTCGAGCTCGGGTAGCTCCTCTGCGACGCTGATCTTGTTTCCACGCCACAGCTCGACCTGTGGCGTTCTGGCCAAATGCCATGTCAGACTCGCGTGCTTGCTTTTTTGCCAGCATCAAATGATCAAATGCCATCGAGCTTTGAGGACACACAGTCAAAGCCAACATTCACGTCAGTCCATATATATATATATTTCCCAGGAGTGCCTGTTCTGTGTGAAATTACATGTATCTGTATAATTCTGTATATTGTATATGCCTGTGCGTGCGTGCGTGCATGCGTGCGTCTGTGTGTGGGTGTGTGCGTGTAATGACGTTTTGAGCTCTTGGAATCGACACACTGTTTAAGCCTCCTGCCTCCAGAATCTTCTTGACCAAGTGATCTGGTGCATCAAAAATGCACCGATGTTCATCCTTGCAACGTTTGCAGCCCCGACACTCCTCCACGATTTCCCATGGAAGCATTTGCCGCAGCAAATACCAGCCTTTTGAGGAAGTTTCAATGGCACGTTCAGACTCCAAAATCAGAGCAGTACAGCCTTCCCAGGCTGAAAGCATGGACCGTCCCTTAAGCTCACGGAAATGCCCAGTCAAGGCAGCCATGGCAGCTGCAAGCGCTGCTTCGGCACCACGTTCTTCGATCACTTCCTTCGCCTTGGCGGTGAAGGCTTCGACACTGGCTTCATGCACTGTATCAAGTTGTCTCACTGCATCATCTGCTGCAGCTCCTACAACATCTTTCGGCTGTGGAGGGCCTACACGCCGCATCTTGATGCCCTTCTTGTGCTCAATGAGGCGAAGCAAATATTCGTCAGATCTGGAATAAAAGCAAATGGAGGTTCCTTTGCGCCCCGCACGGCCTGTGCGACCTGAACGGTGCACATAAGCTTCCAGGTCTTGCGGTGGACGAGTCTGGACCACCAAATCTACGGCTGGCACATCAATGCCACGCGCTGCCACATCCGTGGCCACCAAGCAACGGATCTTCCCAGATCGGAAGTGCTCCATCGTTCGGTCACGTGTCTGCTGGGGGATGTCCCCATGCAAAACGCCAGCTCCTATGGCCTTCAGCTTCTCATTGCCGGCAAGTTCGTCACAATCCTTCTTCGTATTCACAAAGACAATGGTTTTACCAAATGCGCCTGCATGTATCTTGCACAGGTCGCCGATACAATCACCCCGCATGCTGATAGGGCATGCAACACACTGATGTGTGATGAGATTGCTGGTCTTATTGCCATCAGGATCTTGTGCTACATCAATCCAAACCGGTGACTTCAAGTGCTTCTCTACAATGGCATTCACCCATTTGGGCAAAGTCGCGGAGAACAACAGCTTCTGACAACCTTCTTTTGGCAGCTCATCCATCACTGCTTCGATGTCTTCTTGGAATCCCATTGACAACATCTCGTCTGCCTCATCCAAAACCAGCGTCTTGCATGCTGATAGGTCCTGAGGGAACAACACTGAATATAACATGGTTGCAAAAAATTTTGGGACAAAACTGGTGCTTCACCAAACTTCGCAGCTGAAACCATGAGCTCGTCCCTGAAGCACTAACAGCATTAAAAAAAAGTGGAAATTCCAGCTGAGCATCAGCACTTTGCCGGCGTACATGGTCTAGCAAACGCCCAGGAGTGCAAACCAACACATGCACACCATTCCGGAGATCTTCACATTGAGAACCAAAGGGCGTACCTGTCAATATCACAAACATGCACCACGCTGCAGGAATCTGAGAATTGATCCCCACTAAGCTTCTTACTACCAAAGCCCACTGGCTCGGATTCAAAGCAACAGGCTGGTATGGTACACCTACCAATTCCGCGAAGCCCGCCTCCATAGAAGCACTTGACCACCAAGCCACCGGCAGCACCAAGCAATTCAAAGTCGTTGAAGATCTGACGGGCAAGCTCCCTTGTGGGCGCAATGGTCACACAGAGCGGTGCCTCACAAAGGGCAATGCACTACCAGGGGGCGAAAACCCGTCCTCAAGATCCCACATGGTGAAAAGAACCTCATTCTCGTGTTCAGAGATGTGTCCACATATGAATGTTTGGCAATGATGACGTAAGCACAAAGTCACGATCTTGCAATTGTGGCCTCCATTTGCCAAATGTTGGTGAACACGTTTCTTCAAATGCACTAGGTTTTACATCGCCTCCTTGGGTTTTACACCCTCCATCCTCTGTCTGAGCCATTTTTGGTAAAGAATGCCCAATGCTCTCTCAAAAAACTTCATTCTATAAAATTCGATTAAATTCTACTTGCCTTCCTTGCAGAGCCCCCACAACATATGTATCCTTACCGTCGTATGTCTCTACAAGACCCCCGCTGGAACACCCTACAAATAGTGAGTCGCAAAGGGCAATTAAAATAATCCGGAGTTCTATTATGCGGATATGTATTATGTACGTGTGTGTGTGTCCACCCCTGGACAAAGGGTTTCCTTCGACCACTCCAATCAGGCAGGGGCGTGTGGCACTCCCGCCCTACCACACGCAACGAAGCTGTGGGCGGGAGTGGGAAGCAGGGCCTGATCAGCCCTGCGTACCTGCTGAACTTTTGACCACGCTGTCTAATTGGCTTTGTTTGATTCCATGGTTCTTCATGCTACCACCCCCAAACCTACTCGTCCCCAGCAGCTGCGCCGCCGGTTTGATTGCTGCCGCCTTGTGACAACAATGTTAAACTATTCAAGTGATCGGACCCATGCACCTTTCCGTTCTCTCACCTTCCTTCCCAACGTGACAATTGCGTTAACTGAAAACCAGTGTCAGAGTGTGTTTCGCTCAGCCGTCCCACTCGGGTGCTGAGTGTGATCCCCGTCACTGGGGCGCCGCTCTTACATGGGAAAGCAACAACCACAAAGCACCACCGCTCACCGGACTTTCACAGGAAGTCACCGACACCCTCACCGAATCAACTGACACACTGGCCGCCGGGCCAAAAAACGGTTCTTGTCGAATACATCAGATTTCGGAGACTGAAGAACTCAAACTCGCTAGCCTGAGCATACTTGACGGCTAAGTATTCACATGCCTGCGCTGCTAAGTATTCACAGGCCGGATGAATTCATCATGCACACCCCCCCCCCTGAAAAGTAGAGCCTACCTGTACAGTGTTCCACTCCAACAGCCGATATAGTGTGTCCATGCTTGACTGCTTCAAGGCTCAAAGAGCAAGAGGATAAGACTCTGCGCATAAAAGACACTAGCGGTCTGCACCTCTACCGTGTACGCCCTAGTCACTCTTTCAGTGGTAGCGGAGCAGTGATCCTGGAAGACCCAGGTGAGCTCCTTTCCTAGGCATAGAATTGCTAGTGGGCAAACGGCCATGGATTGGATTGACGACTGGGAAGAGCCTGATGCGGATGTGGCTTATGAGCCAGCAGCCTATGTGAATAGGCATGTGAGAAGAGAACCAGCAGCAATAGCAATGACAACACAGGTCACTACAAAGGTGCCCCCATCTTATGATGGAAAGACTTCATGGTTTTCCTATGAGGATGCCATAGACGATTGGTGTGATATCACCGAGCTGGAAGATGAGAAGAGAGGACCAGCATTGAGAAACAGGTTAGAAGGAGAAGCAGCTGTATACATTGAAGGCAAATGATCCACCAGGAGCCGGCGTAGAATATTTCAAACGAGTACTACGACCATATTTCGTGAAAGGATCAACCAATGTATTCCTGTATAGATTTATGCAATTCGTGCGCTTCAATCGAGGATCAGCTGACACGATGAAATGGATGACAAGATTCCAGTTTTTACTCCAAAGGCTTATGAGCAGTTGGATGGACATGTTAGAACCAGTCACTCAAGCACATCCACAGGTCCTAGCTCAGATGCAGGCAGATGCAGCGTTGACTGGAGTAGCACCAACGGCAGAAAGGATTCAGGAAATCATGCAGACCATCAATGGCAATATGAGGACTTTTCATCAGAACGAATTTCCTCTAGGAGAAAATCTCATTGCCTTACTCATGCTGTCACTTGCAGATTTGTCTCAGGACCAGCGAAACACTTTGACTTCATTGATGACTCATCGTGGCAGGGTCCTGCAGCAATACACTACAACAGAGTTGAGGACAGTGTTCATCGAGATGTTCTGCACGACAAAGACTTCAGTAGACAATCCTTTGATGCAGCCAACAGGTGCTGGAGGTAGAAGATCATTTCTCGTACTAGACGAAGGAGAACTCGATGGTACATTTGGCTATTGGGCCGAAGATGAAGAAGATGGAACTGAAGGATTTTTAGATGCCCTGGACGATGTCTTTTGGGTATATGATGATCAAAACTTCTCGTGGTTCCAAAGGAGATTCCAAGGAAGAAGAGCCAGAAAAGGCAAAGGAAAAGGAAGAAGAAAAGGAAAAGGAAGATCAGGCCGCAGATTTTTCAGACCTCGAGGAAAAGGAAAAGGAAAGAGACGAGGTAAAGGCCATTATGCTGATGAGCAACAGACAACATATCCAGAAGAGTACTATGAAGAGAATCCTTATGAGGACACTTGGGAGTCAAACCAAGTAGCTAAGTAGCATATGATGCCATTCTTGCCGAAGATATGAATGACTATCTTCAAGGAGAATATGATGATGCCAATGACTTTTGGCAACAGCTTGAAGAAGCATGGTTTTCCCACAAAGGAAAAGGAAAAGGCAAGAGAAAAGGCAAGAAAGGAAAAGGAAAAGATAAAGGAGATGGCAAACAAGATGCAAACTATGCAAATCAACAACAGCCACGTTCTTTGCCTGCACCTTCAAGATCTTCACAAGCATCAGGAGGTCAACAAGGTTTCTTTGCACATTGTGTGACAGCAGCAGCTGAAGTCCATGACAGTGAGGTGAACTTGCTGTCAGGCATGATGACCTCATGTCAAGATGAAGCTGACTGCGCGGTCAACAATGGTGAGACGATCTTCAATGGCATGAGTGCCCCTGTGAGGTACTTTTTGTCAAAGGAGATGCTCACAAAGGCTCCTGATGGCTTTGCGCTTATGAGCGCTGAGGAAGAAAAGGAGATGCAGGCCATTTCATTTTTGACTGAGAATCGCTTCCCGCCGACTATTGCAATCCTGGACATTGGATGCACTAGAGCTATGGGATCAAGGCGAGCAGTCGACCATTTTTGCAACTATGTCGACAATCACCCAGATTGTGGATTTTGGTACTCTTTTGAGGCTACCAAGAGCAAGTTTTACTTTGCCAATTCCCAGAAGGCTACTTGCTCTCAGAAACTGGTGATTTACATGTATGATCGTGCATGGACGATCCACCATACAGAGTTCGACATAGTGGAAGAAGGAGAAGTCCCTTTGCTTATGAGCTTGCCACAGATGAGGAACTTGGGCTTTGAACTCAGGCTGACACCTCAACATGCTTATCTGACATCGGTGCCTCTTGGTATCAAATATTTGGAGTTGAAGGTTGCAGCCAGTACTCATCTTGTCTTGGACTTCCAAGATATTGCATGGTATCTGTCTGACGTGAATTTGCAGACTCGGCGCGAGAAGAGTTTTTACTCTCACTTCACTCACTATGAATATGGTCATATTTCTGTTGATCACAATAGTGATGAAGATGTAGCTGAACATGCATATCCTGTGGTTGACTACTGGGAAGTAGATGTTCACAAGAGAGAACTGATACGTCACCACAAGGATTATAGAAAGATTCTTTTTCCAGCAACTAAGTCCTGTCCTGTAGACACTGACTTACTGGAAGACTTGCGATTGACAATCATCAAGAAGAAGAAAGGAGGAGAAGAAATCAAGAAGCTAGATGATTGGCGCAAGGCAAAATGGAAGGACCTACAAATTGGCTATGAATGGCGTGGTAGAACAATTTTTAAGTTCAAACCAGATGCCAAAATTCCGGATCTAAAGATCAGGAAGGCTGGCATTGAGCACCGTGGCATTGGTGATCCCGATGCGGTGGTGCGCTCCTCCTCAGAGAAGGTTCCCATTGCAAAGGACAGGGAACCAGGCTTCTCGTCAGAGAAGGAAGGTGCACCATCAAATGCCGCGGAAAAGCCCGCGCCGCCAAAGTTTCGGTATACTTCCAAGGGTTTTGATCCATTTTGGAAGGGACACAAGTCGAAACCATCTGAGCCTCAGAATGATTTAAAGGGTGATGATCTTGAGGAGTTTGCTCCCTCAGAACCACCTGAGAGGCCAGAAGGTGAACTTGTAGAAATTCCTAAAGCATCAAAAGGACCATCAAGTGATAAACATGAACCACTTGAACCAGGTGATGGCGCTCTTGAGCCTAGGCGGATTTCAATCCCATTACCTGGTAGTGAAGTTGTTGCAATGACACCGGCATATAGGAAGATGTTACAGAGACTGGAGGACAAGGTAGAGCTTTATAAGCTTCATGTGAAGCACTACCATATGAGTCCTACTCAGTTTCGTAGACGTGTTTCTATGTTGAAGCTTCCTGACTCTGTTTTAGAGAAGTATGAATCAGTTGTCAGGAACTGCCGTGTTTGTAACACTTCAGTGGCACCTCCGCCACGAGCCAGAGTCTCCGGGATTAGAGCTTCATGTTTTGGTGATGTTGTTTTTGCTGATCATTGTGAGGTTGAACTTCACAAGAACAAGTATATCATCTTACTCGTTCTTGATGGTGCACAAATCTTCTCTGGGCTACGGCACAGAAAGACCTCATAGATCAAACCACCATCCAAGCATTGAGGCAGTGGTCTGATGAGAACAATTGTGTTCCGAAGGCCATCGTAGGAGACGAAGCCTTTTTCACAGATGCTTTTGTTGAATACTACAGGTTCCATGGTATACAACAATGTCCTTGTGGGCCAAGAACTCCTTGGCCGAACCGAGCAGAGACAGCTGTACGTTTGTTCAAACGTATGTGGCATGTTATGAAGGTAGATCTGGATGACCCACGTTTTCGTGGTGTTACGGTCAGAGAAGTGGTCAAGAAGGT